TTTGTTTCATACACTTTCTATTTGACAGCATTTGCTGGGCTGAAGTTAAACCATTTGGGGTCTACGGTGTAAAGATAATAGACAACACAATGCTATCTGATCTAAAGTTATTCAGTCTTTTATTTCTATGTGATAAATGAAGTAATCAAATAAAGTCCTTCTTTCAACTTCAGCCTTTAAAACCTTTTATTCTTTCATCTTTTAGGGCCAAGTTCAAATTAAAATTTAGCTATTGAAAAAATGATATGGATAGATAGATGTATGCATTTTCTTTTCTTTCATACCAGAGCACGTATCACAACTCTGATTATGTAGAGAAGAAAATGTAGGAACTTTCAATAGGGTTAATATTCGCACATACATTCACATTTCAAATTCAAAGAAGAAAACACTGTGCTGGGAAATTAAAATAGCATCGAGTCCATGACAGTATTTTACCTAAATAATATATTTCATTTAATATGCATAGAAATCTTTTTAGAACACTCAATTTAAATTGCTGCAATGTATCCCTTCTGCTGCCTTTGATGTCAATCAGCTTGGAGTCTAAGAGGACGCTAGGAATTGGGCAGAAGGTTCCTAAAGCACTTTGAGCTCTCATATGAAAGGTGCTGTTTAAGTACAAAATATGATAATAATCTTAATATATTTAACAACTTCACTCACTTGCATGGAAATACCTGACTCTACCTCACCTGTTTGGTATTTTGAGGCACAGTCCTTAAGTAAAATTTCTCGAATAGGTTATATATAACATTGTTTCATAGAACTCATTCAGAAAAAAAACATCAGAAGAGGAAGGTTTCATAAACATTATATGTCGGTGGTTACAGAAAATGTCTCCACTAGGAAGAAAACTACAAGGCTAACAAAAGATACTTGTTCCTAAGGAGACTGAAAGGATTACTTTCCCCAAGAGTAGAGCATCCTAGATGTTTCTCTTCCTTAATATTGAATAAAGCCGCTCGTAATGCTACTGGACTGGGGGTACAGTGTATGTTATGTGCTTTCTCCTTCATTTATATTTTCCAGTGGTAAAGAAAATTGAAGTATATAGGCAGCTGGTTGTAGGGGAGAATTATTTTCTACTTGAAAAACATTCTCAGTTTGAATAAAAAAGAAAATGTGGATTACAGATAAATGGTATTCCTCTGCTCCAAAAATTCATTTAAAGATTACCGACTATAGTATTTCTTTTTTGATTTTTTATCTTAAATACTTTTATTTACATAAGTTGTTATCAAAAATATAGCATCATTTTCAAAAATGAAAGCATTACTAATAATGCTAATACCTTTTCACTGTATCTCCATCTGGGCCCCTTCAATTCCTCCTCATTCTCCTCCACCCCCTACCTAGCTAAGGCAATCGTTACTCATTTTTCTGCAATGCATTTGATTTAAATCTTTCTTTAAGATAAAAAAAAAAAAATTGTCCTATGAAGATGAGAAAACAATATCATTTTATTATAATAAGTACTTTTATACGTTTTCTCATTAAATTATCTGGGGGCTACCAAATTGTCCATCATGCAATTTTTAACATTTTCGGTGATTCTGAACTCATCCGACATTTCTCAGAAGCGGGAGCGTATTGGTGAGGAGACCTCACAACACAACTCTGTTTACACAGGAAGAAGAGAGGTTCCCTTACAGACATCACCCTAGGGCCTCCCATCAGGGGTCTGGGTCCCTTGGTCCCTCTTCAGGCCCCACCCTTGTCTTTCGTTTCTGCAGATCCCAGGGTTAGACCCAGCTGACTGCTCTCTGACCGCTGCTCAATATCACAATCCTTATGCACGCTCGACTATAACCCTAGGTGATTCATCAGCGCACTGTGGGCCTGGGTACTGACACTGTATCCAAAGATAACCAGAATCCATGAAGTAAAAAGTGAGGACTAGTCCAGGGTGTCAGGAGATAAAGGAACTACCCCTTTAAGAGTGCTTCCAAGGCATCTTTTCTGGCTCTGCCCTCCTACCCTGCATGTCCACACATGACCTCCAGTTAGCTAGCTCCCATCCACCACCAGTCCAGAAGCATCGCTACTAGGAACACAGGAGCCCAAAATGAAAAGGCTGTTTTTTCAAGTTGTGTAGGAAGAAAAGTCAAGGAGAGTCAGGTATTAAGAAATAGAAGCAAATTTTGAGAGAAGAGTTGACACAAATTAGTGTCCCGGTCAGGCAGAATGAAAGCAGAAAGTGGACAGGGGAATTGGCAGTCTGAGATGTACAGGACCCTTGAAAAAATGATCCAGTGCCACGGAGATGGATCATCACGTACCTTAGCAGGGTGCTAGTCAACAGGCATTCATGTAATTAAGCTTTAATATTTGGATCGCACATTCACTATAAATCTTCTCATTATAAACCGGATACCCATGTATGTATGTTTGCTTACAAGAAAAACTGAGCTGTGTGATTCAAAGAATTCTTATTGAAAATGCATGTAGGTTTATGTGTGTGTGTATGCGGATATGTGTGTATCAATGCATGCATGTCTTATGTGCATATTCAGACGTTTTGGTTGATGTGATTCGTTCCTAAAAATGGGTACATTCTCAGTATGCTGACTTCAAGTTTCCGAGACTATCAGTGAAGATCCAGATTTCAGATTGGAGTGAGCTCACAAACATAATAAAGACCACCTGGCCTTCCCTTTGCTGTCTCTGCTTTGACATATTTTATGGCTTCCAGCGCAAATAACTACAACCCCCACACGGAGGCCGAGACCCATTTAAACAAACTAACAGGGAAAAGTGACATCTTACAGGTATTCGTTTTGCACATCCGCCCCCAAAATAGAGTCAGAGCACTTGTAATTTAAAATCTCTGGGACACTTGTTCTCTCAATAAACTATAACAAGGCCCCTTTGTTCTTAAAGAACACATCATCAAATTAATAAAAAATAGTAACCAAGAGTTGAGATCTCATATGAAGTGAAAAATCCATAGATAGGCATTGGTTGGCAAGCAAACAATCTTCAAACACCCCAATGTGGTGGTCAATATCATCCCTATTTTATAAATTAAAATATTGAGGCACAGAACATTAAGGATCGTGTCCACAGTTTACAGCAAGCAAGAAATAAGAAAGCCAGCACTGAGGGCAGATCAGTTCCAAAACCAGTGTTCCTCACAGCCACTGTGGGGTCCAGCTCGGGATGTGTCCTGGTGGGCAGGGCATTCCCCTCCAATGTGGGGTCCACTTGGATGCCCTGGTGATTGCAGCAATGCTTTATAATTTCAATCATGAAGTTGACTTCAGGAACTCTACCTTTTCAATTTCCCCAAATCACCACTTGAAGCACACTACCAAATCAAAATTAAGCCCAAATTAAACTGAAGCCTGCCTGACTCCCTATTCCCTAAATGCTGTCTAAATTATTACTAATCCCTGCCCCCTTCCTCTTTCATTAACTAATTGGCTTCCTCAATACAGCCTCTTTATGAAATGAGTTGTAGATGATTGTGACACTCAGCAATGGCCTTGGGCCACGAAACGTCAATGTCTGCAGTCAGGGAAGTGTTACAAGTCTCCCTTTTATGGTCCTCCTGTTCCTTCACATGCCAAGCCTATGCTTCCCTGTGCACTTACTTTACCCTAGTTTATCTAAGTGGAAACAGAAGCCTTGCTCCATCCATAACTCATCCTCAATTTCATGGAATCATCTCGTCACGTTTCCTTCTGATTTAGTAGTTCCTGGCAGTAAAATCTCCTTTTATATACAGATAAAGTAAAGAGGCTCTAAAGAAACAAGGAACAGGGAACAGAGCGGCTTTTTAAAACCCTGGGAGAGCACGCTGAGCTCCAACATTTATGTTCTCTCCGGTAGAGGTAGAAACGTGGACAGCATTGCTTATGTTGATAAAGTTGACTTCACAACTTTATACAACCTCAATTTTAAATCCTAGGCATTATCCCCATGATCTCCAATCTTAGGATGAAGATATAACTTATAAAAGCCTAGAACTATCTTTAGGTCCTGGTTATACTCGAAATTATCAGTCAAGGGAAAAAAAAAATTTCCATGTATAACTCTAGCACTAATAAAGTAGTCTCAATGTTTGCAAGTTTTCAGAACACATCAAGTTAGTTTGATCGCCAATATGAGATACCCAGGTTTTCTGTGAACAATCCAATATTAACTAAGCCTAATTAAAACCACAATATCTCTTAGTGATACACTACAAAAAGATCCCTAATGTTTAAGGTTAATACGTATGACATCGCTAATATGCCACTTATTTAACATAAACCATGATATCATAATGAAAGTCCTCATTGATCCCATCTTAATTATTTTTAAAATTTTAGTGTTTGAAAACTGAGCAGCTGAGCCCTGCTCTTATGTTACCTCTGTAACATAGAATAGAAACGTCAACAAATTTTACATATATTGCAATTTCATTATTGCCTGTTATATACCTTAGTAAAGCAATATATACAAACTGGAAAAATATGTAATTACATATAAATAACGTGCTTTAGGTAAGTTGAGTCATCTTTCCATTAAAAAAAATGACTTCACTTCATAAAATCTCAAATCACTTCAGCCTGATGTTGCAATTTAAAAATGTGATAACCAATTTTTATTGTAACAAATGACAACTCATCATCAAGTGAGCCAGTCAACATCATAGACCCTTTTTTAATATTAGCAGGTTAAAAGGAAACTTGACATAGAATGCATAATTGTATAATGACAAATAATGTCTGCAGACCTTGCAAATGAATATTGGGCTGCTTTGGGTCTCAGTTTTGCTTTCATCAGAACTCTTAGGAATTTGCATTTCTAAAAAGGGATTACACTGCTTTACACTAAGATCCATTTGCTTAAAAATTATCATTTTCAGAACAAAAGAATTTTTTATTCAGGTTCTCCAAAGATCACTTTGACGGATACATTATACAGTACAACCATGGCCTTTTCAAGTTTATAGGGATTCAATGTATACTGTAATTAGTTTCTTTATTACAGGCCGCCTCTCGAATTACACATTTCAGCATAATGGAAGTCCATTTAATTAACTGTGTTCCTGATGATCATGCAGACCCCTGAGTCACTACACTTCACCTCTAGTGGAGGCTAAATTTTAAGGAAAATTTATTTGCCTTCAGAATTTATGAAATGAAAAGAGAAAGCACTGTAGGTGTGATTTTAAATAGAGCTAGAAAATTCTCCAAAAAAATATGAAGTTGTCCTACAAAAGTTCTTGTACTACGAAAACAGACAACTGAGGAAGAAAAAAACAGGAAAAAACCAAACCCTCACTTACCAGGCGTGAAATTGTATCGAGCTGAAAATCCCATAGATTCCAGCTCTCCATCAGCAAAAAATTTAATCCATAGAAATCTTCCACTGGATTTTATTACAGGTGGATTTTGTTGTCCACAAAAACGTCCAATTATTGGAGAAAATCCAAAAGGTCCATCTCGAACTTCAATATGATCAAATTTGCACTCCCAAGATGGTTCAATAGAGTACTTTTCATCAAAGTAAAGTTCAATGCACTGTCTTGGGGCAGCTGAAAAAAAGGAAAGATTATGTCTAGAAGGCCATTTTTAAATCTTTAGGTAGATTTTTGTAATTCTACTTCAGATTTTATCTGTATATCTTCTATCAAACTTTGAACATGACGTGTGGAAAAGCAAAGCAAGTCCATAAGCATTCTAAGGGATAACATTTCCATAAGAATGTCTCAGGGATGCTCCTTAAAACTGGTGATGTTGCACAAAGGATTATTCGGATATAAAATAACCATTTCGATGTCTAACACAGGCCTAATAAATCACAGTATTTTTGTGAAAGACCACTAACATTAGGTTTAGAAAGTAGAAAGACATCTTTCTGTCACTTTTCCCGTATCTTCTTAAGTATCCACTTTTAAGGTCAAAAGCCGCTTAAGAGTTGCTCAGCATAGAGTTATCCAAACATTCAAACAGTCCCAGTCAGATGTCTTGATTAGACCCAAGTGCATATACAAGGGCATTAAGAAGAATTTTTCTAGTACACAAACCTCACCACGTCACCCTCAGGTTTAAACTTAGCAACTCTCTATCAGCTATAGAAAAATGATCAATGCACTTGACATTGCAGGACCCTTAAGGGTATCCTACAACTCACACTTCCAGGGGCTTCCCAGTCCACACACAGCCTAAGCCCAGGCCACTGTAGACACACTGTGTTTTCTAAGGCAGCATGCTCTTTCGGGCTTTCATGTATTTTAGCACTTTCTGGAGTATCTACCTCCAATTTGCTGACTCTTGTTTATGCAGGAAAACCTTGCTTACAAGAACCACCCCTCTAAATCTACTCACTAAGGACCAAATCTATTCACCTTCTTTCGGCACTCGGCAAGCACAGTCCTTGTCATTGAGGATTTCTCAAAAAAAAAAAAAAAAAAAAAATCTCTGTTGGGTGAATAGTAAATGAGCTTGTCTTCATAAATGTTTTTTACAGCTCTCTAAAACATCAGGAAGAGCCTCAGAGGGCTAGCAGCTCTATAGACGTCCACAGGGATGCATTTGCTAGCCCCCTGCCATTTTTCCCTTGTCATGTCCAAAACAGCTCAAAATCCTGGCACTCCAGACTGGTATTCAGCCAGGATACCCCAGAATAGCCATAACAGTTGTTGAAATATCCGTACACATTTATTCTAGTTAGTAAACGGCTGTTGCCTTGAGTCCTTTGAGTGCCTCCCTGCCATGTGGCCCTCTTCAGGGACCAGCACCCTCCAGAAACTTGTAAGGTAAGACCTGGCACAGCGCGGCCTGCTCCCCATGTGATCAGTATTCATTCTGAATGACTGTTGTCCACACCACCGTAGTTCTTAAATATGGATTGAATATCACCCTTGATGGCTTTAAAATGAAAGCTTTGCTTGTGTGGATGTCAAAAATTTATAAAGAATTGAAATACATGATGACTTGGAAATTCGAGACCTACAGAATAATCGAAGCTCATTTGGTTAAAGGTCAATGCATGTGACAAGACTATTTTAGGGATTATTTTTAATCTCCAAAAATATTTATGACTCTTTGGACATTGAAAAGAGACATTTATTACTCTTCCAAGAAAAACCAGGGATGGTTTTACCTACCACTACTGTATATTCTGAAAGGTCAACAATTGTAGTATTACCATATTGATAGATTTGATGAAGTTTCAATGATTTTTTTAAAAATCTGCAAATTGGAAAGTATCCTAAGAAATTACTTGGAAAACCTTTTCCCCTTGAGATTATTAGTCCAATAGCAAAAAGGGACCTATTTATGTAGTAGTATTAAGTATATCATTTGCATGTATTAGTATCTTATAGACTGCGCCTGCTTGTTTATCTGCTCATTGGCAAGCCAGTATGATAAGTTTTAGAAGGAAATAAACTATTTGAGAATGTAGGATATTTCTTTTAGATGTAAATAATGTATGGCTAGGGAACAGTAAAGCAATGAGAACAACCTTGTGCTAATTTATTTAAAACTCTATGAAGCAACATATATCCATCTACTTTCCCTATTAGGAAACGCAGGGCCATCAAACACGAATTCATTTATGCATACCTTCATTCACTGTTGCTTAAGTTCTGTCCAACATGGATGAACAAACCTCTCAATGTTCCTTCATGACACATACTATCACCATGGTCTTGGGTAGGCCACACTTACGTGGACAGCTCATCTTCCTTTGGTCCAGCATGTTGAAGTTAACTAGACACACTCATATACGAAATTCCACTAACTGAATTTTCGAAGGCAGTAAAATAAGGTTTTAAAAATAAGCATGTCGTATAGTTGTTGTAATTAAAAACAAGTGATTATAGTGCATGGAAGCCATTGGAAGCTCTCTAAGTTCAGCCTCTTACACTTAGGTTTTCCTCCCCTTCAAATCTCTCAATTCACAGCTGCTTTTTACGTCCATGTTTTCTCTAAGTCATCTGGTATCTAAATCTGAGGTTCCTTTTTGAGAGGTCTTAACCCCTCCTAACATATCTTTGGACACACTGAAAACTCTGAGCACTTTCACCTGAATAGTGCACATAGTTACAGAACATTGCTCCCTCTTTGAGAGAGTTTTAGGACAACCTGAAACCCACGAAAGGGATCTTCCTTTCCATGACTGGGACTCCACTTCTATTCATAAGAACCTATCTTACCTCAAGAAACTTGACCAATGATTTAGACCTTTCTTGTATTTTACATTTACCTTTTTCTACAGAACAGGCTACTCTTTTCAGAATCAAACATGACAATTTGCCCCCCTGAAAGCAGAAAAGACAAAAAGAAAAAGAAAGTAACTGCCTTCCTACCTTGGGTCCATCAACATCTCCCCTCCCCCAAAGCCTCCATCAGCTGTGAGCCAGCTCCCACCCCCACTAGGGCAATGAATGCATATGTCCTAAAGTTACTATCAGCTTCTCAATGGCCTCATGCGATAGATGTGTTTCCTTTTACTTCACTTTTCTTTGCTGTAATAGTTGGCATTTTCGCTACTCCCTTCCTGCTGAAATGTAACCTGCATTACATGCTGGGGCATCTTTTACCTGATCTCCAGTCCATCTCGCTGGCTTATCCTTCACAGTCCCTGTTACCCTTCTCCTTACTCTCCCATCCTTTACCTGTTGTTTTTCAGAAACCCATTCTATGTCTTCTTCCTGCTCTTTCTAGACCTGTGTCCTCGGTGCCACTGGCATCCTAAAGGAGAGCTATTACAATATAATGATGCCTGCAGCTGCATCAAAGACCGATTAAACCAAACTTCATGGGGACAGACCCAGGCATCTGTGTTTTTTGAAAGATTTATAAAATAGTGCTCCAAATATTCTCTCTGGATAATTTTATTCATACCAGGAGCCTCAACAACAATCCATATTTATGACCTATAAATATCTATTTTCAGCCCAGAGCTCTCCAGTGAGCTAAAGACTCATGTATCCAATTTCTTTTTTTTTTTTTTTAAAGATTTTATTTATTTATTTGACAGAGAGAGACACAGCGAGAGAGGGAACACAAGCAGCGGGAGTGGGAGAGGGAGAAGCAGGCTTCCCGCCGAGCAGGGAGCCCGATGCGGGGCTCGATCCCAGGACCCCGGGATCATCACCTGAGACGAAGGCAGACGCTTAACGACTGAGCCACCCAGGTGCCCCCTCATGTATCCAATTTCTGTATGCAACATCTCCATAAACACCAAAATGGAATTCATTATTTTTCCTTCAAACCCTCTGTCTCCACCCATATTCTTTACCTGGAATGGCAGTCCCATCTATACGTCACCAAGCCAAAAACTTTGGAATCGTCTTGGGATTTCCTGTCTCTCCTGCCTACATCCAGGCACTCATGACTCAGTGTCCTAAAGACCTCTCATCTCTTCCTTTGACGCCTCAGCCAATGTCACTTGCGTAGTTCAGGCTTTTACTATGGCTTACATGGTCCTTCACAATCATTCCTGCTTACTTCTTTTCCTTCCGTCACTTCACCAAAATATCAGCTTATTATTTCTCCACTTAAATTATTTCAATGGCACCCCGTTGTCTATCCTATAAAGTTCAAACTTTCACAGCTGGAGTAGACGGAATACCAAGTTCTCCTTTGTCTGAGACTGCTGACCTCTTGAGCCTCCTTACTTCTTCCTCTCCTCACACTATGCAGAAGCTACACATGGGTCCCAACCACACCATATCTCAAACTTCTGCACAGGCCATTCTGAATAGAGAATTACCTCCCTGAAGTTCTTCAAAACTGAGCGAAAGCATCTCCTCCTCCTGATAGGCTCCTCTCCTCTCTACTCCAAACACTGCTGATTTGGGGGTCCCTTTAGATTGTTTACTGAATGGGGCATGGTCCCCAGACCACATTATAAATTCCACAGGCAAGTACCATGGTTGTTTTTTAAAGACTCTCTAAGTGGTACCTAGAAGAGAGGCTGATTCTTAGTAGTTGTTCGATAAATATTGGTTAAATAAATGTATGGATGAAAACAATGGCTGGTATGAAGTATTTCAAAAAGAGTGTAGAAGTATGATTAATAGTAACAGGAGATTCTATTGATTTCTCAACTAAGTTTGTCCTTGACATAACTAGGAATGAATGTAAATATATGCATGATATTAAAATAAAATGCTAGCAATGTTTTTGAATTCTAAATAACAATAAACACGAAAGTGCAATTAATATGCAAAGATCTGCTTCTGAAATAATCCTTTAAATGAGAGAACTAATTGATTTTATTCTTTTTAATAATTCAAAGTTTTAAAATACTGTTGCTTCAAAACACAAATTACGTGAGTTTAAGCAAGACATTTAAACTCCCTGTGCCTGTTTCCTTGTCTATAAAATAAGGACAACAAAAAATATCTACTTCCTATGATTAAATGTTTTAATATATGTTAAGTTTTTGAACATTTTATGTATATACACACACACACACACACACACACATATAATAGATAGGTAATATTAACTTGGTGAAGAGAACAACTAAGTTTAACCCAGAATTTCCGTATTTCAATTTCCTTTTCTATCAATCGCATGAGGAATAAGACTGCAGATCTCAGATTTCTAGTTTTATCCTTTTATTATCAGAGCTTATTCTTTTTTCCTCCTTCTTGTAGTGCAGTGTACCTTTGCTAAAAGTTCACCCTCAGGCACAAAAAGGAAAGAGGTAATATCCTTAGCTTAAAAGTTACAAAAATAAAAAAAGAATCATTTCTAAATAGGAATTCTTGAAAGTAGTTAAACAGGAAGCCTTTTTCTTTCAAAGATCTACCAAATGAACATGCCCCTCATTTAGATATAAATACTGAGCATACACTGTCTTTTTCATTAAGATGACTCAATCCCTCTGTATCTGTGTGGGTAGGGGGATGGAGAAGGGTTGCAGATTTGGGGCTTTTAGGTATTAACATCTATAATATTAAAATCTTCATCACTAGATGAAATGATCATTCAGTTTAGAAAGCTGTACTTAATCGAGTGCTGTCTACAAGGGTAATGGAAATTGGAAATGTTCAAAGGGAAATGAATCTCTTTTTCAGCACTATTTTTTCTTTTGAGTTAGGAAAGAAAATGATGAAAAGAAGCATCATAATTTGGAATCCTGACTTTGGCATTAAAGTATGATAATGTTACTTGTTAGTGCAAATTAAGGCAACTATCATTCAGATTGTTTGGAAACATGATTATAGATTTATTTTTAACATTAATATGCATTTTGTACTTTATATTATTAAAGAAAAATAACAAATGTATAGGTTTTTCTACTAACTGTTAACCAATAAAATACTAGGTTTCTAAAATTGTTATACATTAGGTAATATTATGCCAACTCTGCATCCATTCCATTAATTAAGAATTCTAAATCAATGAAGTCAACTCTAAAATAAACTGTTACCAATTTGCTTTTATTTGCCTGAATTTACTTACTCATAACCCATTGCTAATAATTGCAATAATTAGCTTGATTCCAAATTTTAGTTATTTGATTCATTAAGAGATATTTCTGTGTATGGTCTCCAAAACCAATTTTTGTAATGTCCATACGCATACTGTCCATCCAAAGCACAGCGATGGCCAGGTTTGGCTTGGAGCTTTCTCCAGCCAGGGCTCTCTCCCCCTTACCTTCTATGATGTAGATGCACTCTCGGTCAGGAGGGTACTTGCTGGGGTAGTTGGGAGAGGTAAAGATACCTCCCTCTGCATGTTTTGTCCAAGTTCCACACTGCACTGACTTCTGAGTTTCCGAGGTGGTTTGCTTTTCTGTAAAAAATAAAAACAAGAGCCATCATCTGATTTTCTAAAAGACTAAAAATAGAGAGGACATTCTTATAATATCCATTAGTAAATTAATTTTAAAATGTTGTGTTAGTCAAAAGCAATCAATTATACACACTATAAAATTTTCAGATATTCTGGAATATTAAGAATATGGGGAAAATAGGAAAATGTAAATAATTAGAGGTCTTCCACTGCATTTTCCCAAAGAAACACACCTGTTCCTTTCTTGGTTGCCCCAGACAAATGGAAGATGATTAAACTTGCTACAACTGAAACAGAAAAGAAAAAATAGAAAGAGATCATATTAATATACACTGAAATGATCACATTCTATAACGACATAAAGATAAGATAATATCAAAGCAGATTAATTGTATTATTGTTAACCGGTCCAAGTTAACTCAGAACGTGCCAAAACTCGTTAAAAATGTACAAATCAGGAAAATTTAGGAACCCCTTCAGGAAGTAATGCAAGTTAAGGATAGATGAGACCCCAGAACTGCAAATGCGTACCTCAGAACTTCAGAGGCAATACTGTAATCTACTCCTGTCACATTACAGTAGGATTTCAGGACCTGTATTGTTTCTAATCGCCCTTAGGGAAAGGCTTTGCTAGCATCTCTGAGGGAAGAGTGAGCCAGGCGAGAGGCTGCAAAGGCAAACAATGAGGAAGGACTCCCGTGACGGACCCTAAGGCACTGACAGTGTAGTTGTAGTCGAGAAAACAAATACTTAGGCAAATCTTATGGCAGTTGGGGGAAGGGAACAGGAGAAAAACAGATAAATGTGGATTGGAGGCATTAAGCAGCAGTACAAAAACGTTTCTTATAAAAAGGTACCATAATACCAAGTAACCCCTGTCCTCAGCACTTCCTAAGCTTGCAATTAATTTCTTCTAACCTTAACTTCGACTTAATATTTAGTGTTATCCAGAAATAGATTCTTACTTTGAGAAAGGCGATTTCTGTGAGCATTTCAATGAGCCAATTTTTCAGTATCAAAAAAAGACCCTGATCTCTAACAAGAGTAAATCTGCAAAGACCATTGCAACCGGAACTTCTGCTTTACTTTCGTATCTTGATTTTTTATATATATAAAACCTGAAACTAGAAGAGTCATAAAACAATCTAGTCTTCATAAGTACTGGTTTTTCCTCTTCTAATTTATCTTTGTTATTTATTTTGTTGCCCAATTCCCTAAAATCTCTAACTTCCATTAGATGTATAATTCTCTTTCCCCTTAAAATTAACTTGGGAAAGGGAAGGTATAATTCACAATGATTTCCTAAACTGAAGCTCACGGCAGGAGTTCATAAATTTATGTTTTCAGATTATTCCAAGAAAAGAATGTGGGCCTTAAATTAACATTTGAGAAAGTATATCGGTTATATTACTTTGTACTCCTGCCTGATCATCTGCTTTTAGATGAAAACATTAGCTGTTGTCGTCTGTGTTTAAACAGAAAAAAAAAAAAAAAATCTTATTTTAACTTGCCAGGATTCTAGACACACACAAACACACAGGTACACGCCATCAATACCAGGACGTCCGCGTGGTGTTGTCTTTACTCTGCTTTTCCTGTTTTGATGGAATCACACGATGGAACAAGTACTACGACTAACACATCCACAAAGCCGGTCTTTTAACTGCGTGGCACAGGATTAGAAACCTAGCTTTTTAATGTGAAATTTCCACCACACCTTTTCTTACACTGCCTTTTACTTGACGACTCCTGAAGCCATCTTCCTCTCAACGGCACGCGCTACCGCACACCTATATAACGCCGCACTCAAAGAGTTGAGCTTGGCACTCGCCCTCCCCGCAAGCGTGGCGTTCAGGTGCGCCCTAAACTCCCTCCCTCCTGGAGTGAAAATATGGGCCGGCGGAGCTCCGAAAGCCCCCGAAAGAGGACTATTCCCTGTATCCCGCAAACTGTCAGCCCCGCGCTCTCCCTCTTTCCACCTGCGCCCGCACCCGAGCCCACTCCCCGCGGCTCCCGCACGTGCTCGCCTCCGCCCCCAGGACTGTCCCCCGCAGATTCTGAGACCCAGCGATCACTGACCCGGCGCCGCCCCCACGCCTCGATCGATTATGCTGCAACCCAGAAAGTTTACAGGTGCCCGGACTCGCGGGGACTGCGGGGTCCGGCTGGAGCGCGGCGGCGAGGCTTTTCCCTGCGCGTTCGGCCACGAGGGAGGAGGGAAGGAGGGAGGAGGGACCGCGAGTGGACCCGCGCGGCGGGAAAGGTACTCACTGTGAAACAAACTGCGTCCATAGATCATGTCTGTTCGTTACACCAGAGGCTCCGATCTCCACTAATTCCATTTAGAGACGGGAAGACTTCCAGCGGTGGGGGAGGACGGAGTCGGGGGGTTTTAAATGTGCAAACCAAGAACCAAATGAAGGGGGGGCAGGGAGGGGAGAAAGAGAGATCCGAGCCCACACAGCAGCAAGATCCGAATCCTGGCGTCCTCCGCCCCTGGCTCGCTCTCGCTCGCTCTCTCACCGCCGCGAAGCCAGCATCCCCACCATGACGCTCGCATCACACCCGGCCGCCGATCGCCACCATCAGCACCGCGGGCGGCAGCACCCTCCTCCTTCGCATCACCGCCGCCGCCGCAGCTGTCAGGAGGACGCGCGGGCAGCAGGCGCGCGGGCGGCGGCGGCGGCGGCGGCTGGGGCTCGCTCAGTCCCCAGTTTCATACACCACGAGCAGCAGGTCGGAGCAACCTCTCCGGGAGGATGTCCAGCAGCAGCCCTCCTCTCTCCAGCCCTTGGGGATCTTCCGCTGAGGCATTGAAGACAGGAGGAAGGGGTCCGTCATCAGCTCGCCGGGCTCCGCGCCACCTCTGCGATCTTGCGGAAAGAGGAGCGGGTGGGTGGGCGTCTGGGAGGAGGGCGTGAGGGTGGCGGAGGGGAACGGGGGTGGCCAAGGGGGCGGGGAAGGGAGGGAGGGGGAAGGAGCAGGAAGATGGCAGAGTTACCAAGTGCGCGCCTGAGTCATAGCCGTGGGCTGCGCGACCCTCCAGGAAGCCCGGAGCCCGGGCGAAATTGGGCAGCGCGGCGCGGCCGGCACCCCCGGGGCTGGTGAGCGGCGGAATGGGGCGGCGGCGGCGGCTGCAAGGACATCACACCCGCTCGGATCCTGGGTGGGGGGAGGGAAGGGGGAGAGGGTGAGGACCAGGCTGGGATCCGTCACTCGGCCAGCCCGGGCTGAGGGGGCCCGAAGGGAGCAGGCAAATCCGGAGTTGGATCCCGATGCCCGATAAAAGGCGAGCAAGGGGGAGGGGCCATCGCGTGAAATTTCCCTTTGGGGTTCAGTTTTCACTTTTTACGGGTTAGAGATTGCGGTCGATCTGTCTCCCACCCCTTATATTGCATCTGTCTAGAGGAAGCGTGTTCTCTCTCCTATC